CTTTCACTATTAAATATGCTGTTAGCTATAGGTTTTTAATTTGTTTTTTTTAATCTTTTTTTTAATCTTTTTTTAATCATTTTTAATCTGTTGGAGAAGTCCTTCTCTATTCCTAGTTTACTGAGTTTTTATCATGAATGGGTGTTGCATTTTGTCAGATGGTTTTTTCATACCTACTGGTATGATCATATGAGTTTTCTTCTTTAGCCTGTTGATGTGATGGTTTACATAAATTTATTTTTAAATGTTAAACCAATTTTGCATACTTTGGATAAATCTCACATGGTCGTGGTGTATAACTCTTTTTATACATTGTTGAATTCAATTTGCTAATTTTTATTATGGGGGTACAGACGTTTTGGTTACATGAATTACTTTTGCACATTTTGAGTCAAAGTTGTAAGTAGGTCCATCACCCAGATTAGTGTGCATTGTATCCATTAGGTGTGAATTTACCCATCCCCACCTCCACCCTCCCAGCTGCTTGATTTCTGTTAAATTTTACAACCATATGTATACATGAGTGTTCATCATTTAGTTCTAATTTAATAATGAGTACACGTGGTATTTGTTTTTCTATTCTTAAAATAATTCACTTAGAATTTGCTCATGTTTTGATGAAGATTTTTACATCTGTGTTCATGAGAGATATTGTTCTTTAGTTTTCTTTTTTTAAATAATGTCTGTCTGGTTTGGGTATTAGGGTATTCTGGCCTCATGGAATGAGTTTGGAAGTTTTCCCTGTGCTTTTATCTTTTATTAATATTAGAACTAACAGATTGGTGCAGACTGAAAAGTATTAGTATAATTTCTTAAATGTTTGGTAGAACATAACTGTGAACACATCTGGGCCTGCTACTTTCTGTTTTGAGAGGTTATTAATTATTGATTCGGCTTCTATAATAGAGACAGGCCTATTCAATTGCCTGTTTCCTTTTGTGTGAGTTTTGGCAGATTGTATTTCTCAAGAAATTGGTTCATTTCATCTAGGTTATCAAATTTTGTGGTAAAGAGCTGTTCATAGCATTCTTTCTTTCTTTCTTTTTTTTTTTTTGAGACAGAGTCTCACTCTTTTGCCCATGGTAGAGTGTCATGGCGTCAGCCTAGCTCACAACAACCTCAAACTCCTGGGCTCAAACAATCCTTCTGCCTCAGGCTCCCAAGTAGTTGGGACTACAGGCATGCACCACCATGCCCGGCTAATTTTTTTTTCCTCTCTATATTTCTAGAGGCCAATTAATTTCTTTCTATTTGTTTGGTAGAGACGGGGGCTCACTCTTGCTCAGGCTGGTTTCGAACTCCTGACTTTGAGCAATCCTGCTGCCAGAGTGCTAGGATTACAGGCGTGAGCCACTGCGCCTGGCCCATAGCATCCTTTTATTATCCTTTTAATGTCCAGTGGACCTGTAGTAATGTTGAATCTTTCATTTCTGATATTAGTGTAATAATATGTGTCTTGTCTCTTATTTTTCTCAGCTTGGCTAGAGGCTTATTGATTTTATTGATCTTTTGAAAGAACAGCTTTTGGTTTCATGATTTTTCTCTTGGTTTCGTATTTTCAATTTCATTAATCTACTTTAATTTTTATTATTCCTTTTCTTTTCTTCTGCTTACTTTGGATTAATTTGATCTTCTTGTTTTAGTTTCCTAAAGAAGAATCTTAGATTATTGATTTTAGATCTTTCTTTTTCTAATATATGCATTCATCGCTATAAATTGTCCTCTAAACAGTGCTGACGCAGTATCTGACAAATTTTGAGAAGTTGTATTTTCACTTTCATTTAATTCAGTCTATTTTCTTGAGATTTATTCCTTGACCCATTGATTATTTTTAAGTGTGTTGTTCAATTTACAAGTATTTTGGGAATTTCCAGCTATCTTTCTGTTACTGATTTCTAGTTTAATTCCATTGTGGTCTGAGGGCAGACATTGTATGATTTCCATTCTTTTAAATTTGGTAATATGTGTTTTATAACCCATAAAGTGGTCTATGTTCCATGTGTGCTTGATACTAGTGTATATTATGCTGCTGTTAGATGAAGTAGTTTATATATCAGTTATTTCTAGTTGATTGATGGTATTGTTGAGTGCAGCTATGCCCTTAATGATTTTCTGTTTGCTGTAGCTGCTGTCTACTTTGTCCTTTAGAGCCCTTAGTATAGTAATCATAGATTTAAAAAAAATTATGTTCTGATAATTCTAAGATTCCTGCCATATCTGACTCTTATTTTGATTTTTGCTCAGTTTTTTTCAAACTGTTTTTGCTATTTAGGATGCCTTGAACTTTTTTCTTGGTAGGGAGACATGATGTTTTGGGTAAAAGGAATTACAATAAGTAGACCATTAGTAATGTGGTAAGGTATGTTGGGGCAGAAAACATTCTATAATCTTATGATTAGGTCTTAGTCTTTTAGGCTGGGCCCCTGAACTGTGAACTTCACATTGTGCTTCCTAGTGTGGTGAGTTTTTTTCTCTTTGTTTTTTTTTTTCCATTCTTAGTTGAGATAGGATGGCTGGCGGTAGCCAGAGTTCTGTATTTTCTTCCCCCTATTTGGGATGCTAGAAGGATCTGGAGTTGAATATTTCCATTCTCCTAGGTAGAAGGCTGGAGCTGGCTGGAATTGGGTATTTTTTCCTATCCCAGCTCAGTTGGGCTTTGATAAACCCCAATAGGTTAGGCTCTGTTAAAAACTGTTTTTCCTGAAGGCAGTCCTTGTTAAGAAGAATAGAATGTTCTGGTATATTTCAGAATGGCTATTTTTTCCCCTCCTCCTGCTGGAAGCTTGAGGAAATTTTTCTTGGATCTTCACTATGAAAACCTGGGAGAGCTCCTGGAGATAAACGTCATGGAAGTGTAGGGGACCCAAAGACTGGGATCCCCTTGTCCACATTGAATCTCCAGCAATTTGTTAATTACAGTTCAGATTTTTCCACCCTGCTGCTGGTTCCCATAGATGTTTCTGCCCCTTGGTTTTAACTGTGGTAAATTGTCATTCCCTGTTTCAAACCTGTGTGCATCTCCAGAGTGGGCAATGACAAAATTACATCTGACTGACAGCCATTGCTCTAGGGCTTACAATATACATCTTTAACTTACCCACGATGTAACTTCAAATATTCTGCCACTTTTGCTTCTTTCCTCCTCTCCTTCATGCTCCTTTAATGCATTTTACTTCTATATATGTTATGGACTTCACGATACATTGATTTTTGTTTGACTTTAAACACTTAATTATCTTTTCATAATATCTTTAATTCATGTTACTTTTTATTCCTTTGGGCAGAACCAAATGCCTCTGACATTTTTATGTGACCTGAAGAATTTTGTAACAGTTTTTATAGTGTAAGTCTACTGAATATAAATTCTTTGAGCTTTTTTTTCTGAAAGGTCTTAATTTCACTTTTATATTGGAAGGGCTTTCACCGGATATGGAATTCTAGGCTGACAGTATTTTAAATATGTCACAGAGTTGTTTTTGGAGTTGTATAGCTTCTGAGGAGAAGCCTGCTGTCATTCTAGTCTTTGCCTTTTTGTATTTAGTATGTTTATTTTTCTGCCTGCTTTTCAGATTTTCTCTTTATCAACAGTTTTCAGAAATTTGATTATGATGTGCATTAGTTTGGTCTTATTTATTGTATTTTTTTGATTGGAGTTCATTGAACAAGGATCTCTGGGCTTATAGTTTTCATGAAATTTGGAAAATTTTTGGCCGTCGTTTCTACAAAAATGTTTTTTTTTTTTTTGGTCACTCTCCCTTCCCTGGGATTCAAATTACATTTTTGTTAAATTGCTTAATGTTGTCCCATAGGTCAGTTGTGCCTTGCTCTTTCATATTACTGTAGTCTTTTTTCTCTGATCACTTTATTTTGGATAGTTTCAATTTCTGTATGTTCTAGTTAAGATCAGTGATCTTTTCTTCTTCAGTGTCTAAATTGCTATTAATCTCATTCAGTGTGATTTTTGTTTCAGATACTAATATTTAATCTTTAGAAGCTTCATTTTAGATAATATTCATAAGCAAAAGTCCTTCTGTTGGCATTTTGCATTTCCTTTCTGTGTTTAGAAGCAGTATTGTAGGTTGTTTTTGCTGACATGTGAAGGGCCTGGTGGTCTTTGGCCCTTGGTTTAAGTCATTGTCTTTCTTGATATCTTGATAAGAATCCTGTGTTGCCTGTATCGCAAATCATTGCTGGGGAACATTAAAACTCTTTTTTGTAGTAGAGGAAGTGATATCCTAAGCAGAAGTGATATGGATTTTGCCTGTCTGTGGCAGCATTTCTTAGGATACGCAACAACTTGGCCATCGATTTTTCGCCCACTGCTTGTGGTTTTGGGACTATTTAGCTGACGAATTCATCACCTACTCCATTCTTGGGTTGTGAATCCATAGATTTGAATTCGGTTGTGAGAGCCAAACATGCAACATGCTGAGTTGGTTGGTTTGTTGCCTGGAAAATTGTTAGGGCAAAATTGATACTTTGATTACGGAGAGAAAGAGGCAGATTTTTAGATTAAAGATGTTTGACTCAAAATAATATGAAAGAATTCTGGCTTGTTCTAAAGGCAAGGATAGAAGGAGATATGTCATGAGAAAGAGAAAGAAGCTCAATCCATAAATAGTAAACTTTGTAGTGGGTGGGAATTATAAGTAGGGTGACTGTAAGTTCTGTTTGCTGAGGAAAGTCCTGTTTTATCCCTGTTGTTCTGGAATAATTATTCACTCTCCAAAGTGTCATAGTTTGTGTGATTTTATATATATATGTGTATATATGTATATATATATATATATATATATGTATATATATATATAGAGAGAGAGAGAGAGAGGGAGAGTGAGACATCCTACTTAAAAGAAAGTGTTTAGCGAATACAAGTGTTAATTCCATGGTTATTGGCATTTCCTGAGTGGTGGATTCACTGTTTACTTTGTATTTTAAATAGTGTATAGTATACTGACTAATAAATGTTTTTTTTTTAATTTTTGATATTTTTCCTATAGATGATCTCAATGCCACCCACCAACACTGTGTTTTGGCTGGTTCACAACCTCGGTTTAGTTCCACCCACCGAGTGGCAGAGGTAAGTGTAAATAAAAATGTGATTCACACCTAATTGGATGTGACAGAAGTGGTTGAACGAGCAATTTATCATAGAGCTTTGGAAGAGTGTTTGATCGGAAAATTGCTTCCATGTAACTTGACTTTAGTCTCTGTTTACTTGCGTTTTTAACTTTGGGTTGTGTTGGATACAGTTTTAAAAAGTGTATTCACAGCATGGGATGAGTATATTTTGCTTCTTGGGGTTATGTTTCTTGGAGAAGGAAAATGCCATTGGCAAGTTAGATAGTTAGAGATTTCTTTAGGGGGATGTGTCTGTCAAGGTTAGGGGCAGGAGATGGCCAGAAGGGAATGGGTGGATTCGTGTGCCTGTGCATCTGCTAGCTGTGGCTGCATTCAGATGGTTGAGAATTTACATTTTCCTTAACTTTTTGGTCAGACTTCTGTTCATGTGAATGTAAATTAAGGAGAAAGTTATAGTGGTGCCAAGGAGTTTCTGAGCTTTCCAGCTGTATTCATAGCATAGATTTTATTGCTAAATTCTGCTACCACTTACAGTGGCTGCTGGTCAGACAAGTTCAGAATGGAAAATTTAAAATGAGAAAAACTCATATTAGTCATCCTGGGGTCCCATTGCTCAGTTAAGAAAGGTTCCAGAGAGCAAGTGAATCATCATGAAAGGGATTACCTGTTGACCTCCCACCTAAGCTTGTTATCCGTGCTTTGCTTCATAGCTTGACCTTTCATGGAACCACAGGGGACAAGTGTGAGAAAATTGGGTAGGAATGATACAGAAAAGTAGCAGGGAAGCACAAGCAGAAGGTCTTTCAGTCTCAAGACCATGTGAATCTATACGGCAATGTCGTGTCTTTTGGTAATTAAATAGCTTTACTAGTGGACCACTCATATTGCTATGTGACAGAGAGGGAATGAGTAACTATTTAAACCAGATGCCAGCAAACCCGTCATGCATTCCTGCTTCCCTTTCTCCCCTTTCTTCTCATGTCCATTCACTTGTTTAAATATTTGAGTTCCTGTTGTGTGTCCAGCATGGTAGGCCTGGGAGGTGGAGCCATCACCATGTTCAGTGCCTTTGTTGAACTTACATTTTAGTTGGGGAGACAAATTTTAAATAAACACAGAAATAATTATCTTCAAGGCCATAAAGAGGTTCTGTTAAGAAGTAGGAAAGGAAGGGAGAAAGGAAGGAAGGAAAAAAGAAAGGAAGGAAGAAAGGAAAGGAAGAGAGGGACTGAGGGAGGGAAAGTAAGAAGGGAAGGAAGAAAGAGAAAGAAGGAAGGGAAGGGAAAGAAGGAAGGAAAAGAGGAAGGAACATTTATGGAGCTTCTAATATGTACCTTGTATTGTACAGAAAGATTTCATTTCCCTGGTTATAGGCATCTTTTTTTCTAGCTATAAACGTCCCAAGAATCTTATTCTCATACATCTCTTGAGTATGTGGCTACTTAAGTGTATCTTTCTTACATCTTTCCTAATCTAACCTGGAAGAGTAGATAAGCTCATTAGTGCTGTGATCAGAAGGCTGGTAATGATAAATAAATGATTAACAAAAAGTTTGGGGAAATATGTTCTATGGGGATACCAATCAATATCAAATTCATAGGGTTCTTACAAGGATTAAATTAGTTAATACATGTAAGTCTTTTAGAACAGTGATGGGCATACATTCAAAGAATGTTAGCTACTAATACTACTATTAAATTACTGTTACTGTGGATACTCCTAATGTGACGATCTTTTCCTTTTATTCTGATGAAAAACTAATGGGAGATAGGAACAACTACAGCTCTTTGTATGGAAGGTTATTCTTTCTCCATTTATATACTAGAGTATACATAATAAAGCAAGAAATATTAAATCATTAGCAAGTCTTAATTATAAGAATTGCTATTCATTGAACACTGCTGTTCAGAAGAAGAGATTTCAGTTTGTTCATTCATTCATCAAACTTTTGTTCATGTTCAAGCTAGGCCGTTGTGAGCAGGAATGGTTGATATGTTCAGTGTCTTCAAGATGCTTACCATCTATAAGTAAGTATAGTGTATTATAGAATAGAAAGTGTCAAATAGCATAAAGCTTCATGGGTGAGGCGAAGTATGTATTAGCTTTTCATGACAGGTAAGATAAAGGGATTGAACAGGTATTAGGGATTTTAGGACAGCTAATGGGATGAACCAGGACTGAGGTGGAAATCTCGTGATTGGGATGGGATGGCAGTGCTTGGGGAATATTGACTGGCTGTACTTTGAGCGCATCCTAGGGTGCCAAAGGGAATGTTGGCTGTCAAGGCTGATTCCTGCATGGGACCAGATTGTGAAAGATCTCGGATATCAGATTAAGTGTTTGAACTTAAGTTGGTTGGCACTTGTGGACTATTGATTATTTTTTATCTTGGTAGTGACATATTGAGATAACTTTAAGAAGATGAAAATGATATTGGCATCACTTAAATCTATCAGGGTCTGAACTAAGGTACCCGCAGGAGGCAAAAAGAAGAAAATCTCATGAATAATGTAAGAGACAGTGTAAAACCTGGCAACTGACTGATTGACTTGGAGAGAGGAATGTAATAATGAGTTAATGAATGAATGAACTAACTCTTTATTGGATGCTTTCCATGTGCCAGGCTCTAGAATGACTCTTGAGTTTCAAGTCTGAATGATTCAGGGATGACATTACCATTAGTAGAAATAGGGAATCTAAGACATTAAGGGAAGAGAGTAATTAGTTCAGTTTTGAACAGGCTGGGTTGGAGCTGCCAAGTGAACAAGTCCAACAGACAAATGGGAATATGGGAATGAAACATGTGAGAGAGCAGGAAACTTCTTGCCCCCTGCCTCCTGCAGTAAACACACACACATAAAAGCACCCAAAGGGAGCACTTTGGAGTGTAGTTTGACAAGCACCCTCCTGGCCTAGGTGGACCAATTTCACAGTCATTAGAGCAGCATTGATTTCAAAATAACCTGAGGCTTAGCTTTCTCTGTTTATTCATAGTAGTGTTTGTGTCTTCTAATTTTTAGGCCAAATTTAAAGCACTAATTAACTTTAAATAAAGGGATGAATATGTACAGTGATTCTGTCAGGAGGAAAACATTACCCCAAATCTATGATTTTTATATTTTGGTGTGAATGATGTGAATACCTTGCAGGAGTTGGCAAACTGTGGCTTGTAGGCCAGCTGGCTGTTTTTGTAAATAAAGTTTTATTGGAACACAGCCCACCATTTGTTTCCATATTGTGTATGGCTGCTTTGGAGCTATGTGGGAGAATTGAGTAGTTACAACATAGACCTTATGGCCTGGAATGGCCTAAAGTATTTATTGTTTGGACTTTTAAGAAACAGTTTGCTGACCTGTGTTATAGATGATCCTGGGTAAGCAGGCCTTAAAAATCACCTTAAAATTAAAAGTAAATTTTCAAAAATTACTATCTTAAGGTCACTTGTTATTTCTGCCAAAATATTTCTACCAAAGTAAAAAATACTGGTATTCAGTGCTGACAGAGTTATAGTAAAACTGGTACAATTCATATACTTCTGCTAGTTCTTCTAATTGGCCAACTTTTTATAAAGCTATATGGGAATATGTATAAAGCACCATAAAAATCATCTTTGATCTCATAGCACTATTTTTAGGAATCAAACCCAGGAAATAATTAAATAGAAGTGTGTATATAAAGATGTTTATCTAGCATGATCAGTAGTAGTGAAAGTTGGGCAGAACCTTAATACCTTTATAGTATGTGACCGTTTAATTAGATTGTTGACTATGACCTTAATTAGCAACCATTTTCAATGGCTGTCTTGAATATTTATGTACAAACAGTGAAAAATAGCATATACATTGATATGTATACAGTGATTACAACTGGGTATGGACAAAGAATCACATGCAGTAAAAAGATAAAAATAGGCTAAGATAGTAGGAGTATGTTTTCATCTTATTTAAAAATTTTTTTATTTCATCTTATTGTTTTCAATAGTAGAAGAAGCAAAAGATTTTTTCCTTCAACACTGAAGTTACATTATTGTTTTCTTTAATAGAGGAGGGGAAGAAATTCATGCAACTTTATATGTCTCGCTTATTTTACAAATGTCCTCTCCTTCATACAGTATTAGCATTACTTATCTTATATGTGCCAAACAAAATGACTTGTTATTTCTGCCTATTCACAATATGTAGGAAACAGGTTATACTAAGGTTATGATGTTTTGAAATTCATTTTAGTTAATCAGAGAAGAAATTTATTCGGTCTTTTGGTTGTACATTACTGAATTACGTCTGATGCCTCTTGACCTTTATTTGATTTTAGTTTTTTCTAGTTTTTTCTTAGGATTCTATGCAGAATGTCTTTTTTAAATTCAAGTTTTACATATAATTACTTTTTGAATAGATAGTTACTCAAATGGCTTAAAATTAAAAAAATATATATCTTAAGGGAATACAGGTAAAGTCTCATTCTTCTCAAGCCAACTAGCTTCTCCTCGCCAGAAGCAACCAGTATTATCATAGAATGGGACAAAGTATTTGCAAATCATATATCTCCTAAAGTAATTGTATCTAGAATATTCAAAGAATTCTTACAACTAAATAATTAAAAAGATAAATAATCCAGTTTAAGGTGGCAAAGGATCTGAATTAACATGCCCTTAAAGAACGTATACAAATGGCTAATAATATGCACATGAAAAATGGTCAACATCATTAGCCACTAGGAAGCTGCAAATCAAAAGCATGATGAGATACCACTTCACACACACTAGGATGGATAAAATCAAGTAGACAGTAACAAGTGTTGGTGAGGATGTGCAGAAAGTGGAACCCTCATGTACTGCTGGAGGGAATATACAGTGGTACAGCCACTTTGGGAAACAGTCTGGTACTTCTTCAGAAGTTTAAATGCATAGTCACTGTATGATTCTATGACACAATTCCATGCTTAGGTATATATACCCAAGAATGATGGAAATTTATACATGAATATTCATAATAGCTTGATTCATAATAACCAAAAAGTAGAAACAACCCAAAGGTTAACCACTTAATGAATAGATAAACAAAATGTGGCATATCTATACGATTGAATATTATTTGGTATTAAAAGGGAAGGAAGGACTGATATATGCCATAACACAGCTAAATTTTGAAACCATGGTAAGTGGAAGAAACTGGTTACAAAGATCACATATTGAGTGATTTGATTTATATGAAATGTCCAGAATAGGCCCATCTAAGGACATAGAAAGTAGATTAGTATTTGCCTAGGGCTGAAATGTTTGTGGAAATGGGAGAGGGTGACTGCTAAATGGCACAGGGTTTCTTTTTGGGGTGATAAAAATGTTCTAAAATTAAGTGTAATGATGGTTACACAACTGTGATTATCTAAACAACATTGAATAGTATGCTTAAAATGGTTGAATTTTATGATATGTGAATTATATCTCAATAAAACTGTTACCCCCCCACCAAAAAAAACCAACCAAAACAAAACCCAAATTAGGTCCAAATCAAAGAAAACACTATATAGCCAGAAAAAAAAATTCCACTGTCTCCCTTGCCTTTTCTTTGGGGGCGGCAGGAGTGTGGGGGGTGTGTGGGGGTGGGCTCAAGTATGGTTACAAGTTCATTTAACTGGTTTCCTATTGTTGGGAAATATAAGTTGTTTCCAATCTTTAGCTATAATAAATGACAACGTAATTAATAACCTCTTGTGTAGCTCACTTTATACTTGGGAAAGTGAAGGTCCAAGTAAGAACTTTCTAGACAGACTGACATTTTAAAGAGATATTGTAGAGGTAGCTGTGGGACAGAAGTGAGTGGTGATTCACCCCCATTCTTTGGTTTTTTTTGCAGCAAATTGGAGCTGCCTACCCTTGTGTTCCCAGCACTCTGGGATCTTCATGGTAAAATACACATTAGTCAAGCTTCTGTTTATTGGCACAGAAACTGTTTTTTCCCAGGCTTGCTGATGTTGTATAAGATGGCAGTAAATGTGCAAAGAATTTTTATACCAGAGGATTAGCCTTCAAGGTTATGTCCAAGGGGTCAGTTTAAATTATAAATATTAAAATAAAAATATTTTAGGGATACATTTCCCTCCTTAGGTCTAAAGCATATTTATAGCTTGCTTTTTATCATTCTAGGAAATCATTTCTTTATCAAAACAAACGGATGCACAGTCCATCTGCATCCTCTTCTTTTTTGACATACGATCATTTAAAAAAAGGAGTTTGTCCATTTGACCTCAGTTTTGCTCCCACAGGCTCAGAGAGGGATGAACTGGTTGTGTCCTTGCTGATGCACAGCTACTAAGTTATGCCTTTGAGCATGCCTGGATGGCCGGGCCACATATTTTCCATTATTTGAAGGATTTCTTCTGCCAAGGTCTGCACTGCCTAGTGTGTGCTTTTTGCAGAAAAGGGAAATGAGTTCTTTTCTTGTATTTATAACTTCACCCCACCCCTCCACCCCCACTTGCCATTACTATTCTATTTAGTATGCTTTTCATACCAATTCTACAGTCTGGTTACCTTTCTTCCCCATTGCTAGTCTGAGGGTACCAGATATAAAGTCAGTGTCTTTGACTTATTGGTTAACTAGTTATTTATCCAATGATTATTTAAGTTTCTTCTACATGTGAGACTCAGTTCTAGATGCTGTAGCATATGTAAACAATATGTGCAAAAATAGGACCTTAGCCTCAAGAAAGCCTACTGTTTAGTTAGAGATATGAGGCCCACATACGAAAAGAAAACCAGCAAACTGAGTGGACCAAATGAGGCCAAGCTGGCAGCACAGAGCCCAGTGGGCAGGCTACTGTAGTAATTCTTGAGTTAAGGAGAATAGGCTGAGCTGTGGCAGCAACAGGTGAATGCATAGCAAGGGGCAGATGCAACCCTCCTAGGAAGCATGGCATGATAAACTTGGATTTTGCCCATAATCTTGATGGATGGTTCTGTCTCAACAGTGCTCAACGGGAACCTTGGATTACATCTTACAACGCTGCCAGTTGGCTCTGCAGAATGTCCGTGACGATGTGGACAATGGTGACGTCTCTTTGAAATCCTTCGAGCCTGCAGTTTTGAAACAAGGAGAAGAAATTCACAATGAGGTGAGGCCTCTCAAGAACTGTGAAGGGTCTCAGATCCTACCCTACTTGCACACTAACGAGTTAATCTGCCACAGTATACTGGTATTAGACATGAGACTGCTAGGTTAGAGGTGAAGGAAAGGTTACTACTTACAACAATAGCAGTAGCCGGAGTATCAGCATTTTTATGTTAGTTCTCTGTCTTAGTCCATTCAGGCTGCTATAACAGAAAGCATAGATTGGGTAGCTTCTAAGCAACAGAAATTCATCCTTACGGTTCTGGAGGCTGGCAAGTCCAAGATCAAGTTACCAGCAGGTTGGGTGTCTGGTGAGGGCTGTTTCCTGATTCATAGATGGCACCTTCTCGCTCTGTCCTTATGTGGTGCAAGAGGCAGACAGGATCCCTCAGGGCTCTTTTATAAGGACACTAAGCTCATTTATGAGGGCAGAGCTTTCATGATCTATTACCTCCCAAAGGCCTCACCTCTTAATACCATCACCTTGGCTGTTAGGATTTCAATATATGAATTTAGAAGGGACATAAACTTTCAAACCATAACATTTGTGAAGCCTCTATTTCTATAGGGTGATGCAAAGTAGGCCAGATAACATGTACACACAGAGGAGTTGCATTATAGGAGGGGAAACTTGAGCTACAGGAACCTGTATCTTTTTAAGTGGATAGTAAGCATGCCTGGCCTTCACGCCAGGTTAAAAACACTCTCTTTATCTTGTAAGTCTACACACAAATCTGCCCTTTGTTCTGAAGGAATAAACTGTCTCGGTCTACAAAGGCTGTTTGCTATATAAACATCCTTGCAATGACAGTCTGACACACAGGGAAGTCAGTGCTTGGTCACAAGACCTGCAGAAACACAAGAGACTCATGAAGAATCGTTTTCCATCAAGAACTGATGGGAACTGAAGGTGGGCCCTAGGAGCAAGTGTCAATGCAGTGCTTTTTGTTTATAAAATAAGTTGCAATCTCATAGTCTGTGAGATCAGCAAGTTTGGATTTCATGCATCAGTGTTTTACAAACTTTACTATTCCTATTAATACCCTTTCAATATTTGCTTTATTTTTGGATAACATACATCGCTAGCTATTTAATATTTTTCTTCAAGTCATTTTTTACATATATAGATTTCTTTAAAAAGGAAACCTTTTATTGCCACTTTAAGTGGAAATCCAGTATCATGATCCAAAAGAAAAAGTAACCAGAAAAATATATCCAATGAAAACAGGGCAAGGATATTACATTCCAGCAGATATTCTTGTCTGGAGGGGGCTCTGAGCCTAAAGTCTCCTTTCCTTGTGTTAAGAAGGGAGATTAGTGGTAATGGTTTCACAGCTTCATAAATTTTCTAAAGATCATTGAACCTTGCACTTAAAATGTGTGAATTTTATGGTGGGTAAATTATAACTGAAAAAAAAAAAAGCTGTTAAAAGGAAAAAAGAGACTAACAAGTGTTAGAAAACTATTGAAGATTGTCACCAATATGAAACTTTCTTTTTGATATAATTAGAATGATTGATGGAGATTTTGAATGCAAAAATGTTCTCCTTACCGAGGCTGGGTGCAATGGCTCACGCCTGTAATCTGAGTACTATAGGAGGCCAAGGGTTGGGGAGATCGCTTGAGGACAGGAGTTCGAGACCAGTCTGGGCAACGTAGCGAGACTTTGTCTCCACAAAAAGTAAGAAAAGTTAGCTGAACATGATGGCATGCATCTGTAGTCCCAGCTACTTAGGAAGCTAAGGTGAGAGGATCATTTGAGCCCAGGAGTTTGAGGCTGCAGTGAGCTCTAATCATGCCACTACACTCTAACCTGAGTGACAGAGCAAGACCTCGTCTCTAAATAAATAAATTAGATAGATATATAGATAAATGATATATAAAATAATTACTGAGCCTGTGCCATGTGCTTTTCTGGGTTGTTTTAGGATATATAGGTAAATAAAATAGACATTCTAGGACAGGGAGATGATGATAAATAATGAACATAATATGTTGTTAAATGAGATAATATGTTAGAAGTCGCTGAGTGCTACAGAAAAAACAAACAGAGCAAGGTAATGGAAATTGGGAGAACTAGAGAGCATGCCCATTGAGAAGACGTTTTTTGAGCAGAGACTTGGAGATGAGACAGCGAGCCACATGGCTGTCTGGAGGAGAGCGTTTCAGGCGGAAGGAACAACAGCTACAAAGGCCGTGAGGTAGGAGAATGCCTGGTGTTCGTGGAATGACTCAGGGACAGCATTATTTGAGTGGAGGCGGCGAGACTGAGAGTTGCAGAAGAGGTTCCAGAGATAGTAGTACTGGGAGACTGGGGGCCCCTGTGAGGACAAGGACTTCCTTTTTACTCCGAGGGAAATGGAGAGCCATTGAAGGATTTTGAGCAAAGCAGAAAAAATATCTGCTCCCACAGTGACATATAATATCTTTTTAATGTCTTTAAAAGATATTTAATATCTTCTGAGCTGCTGCACACTTTGTGAAACATTGCCATAATCTCCAGAACCGAAGACAAAGAAATTCTGCCTTTCAGGGAATAGTATCCACTTCTAAAATTAAGCTATGAGTCTGACGTTCTTCCCTTCATTGTGCCTGATAAGTGTCCCATTTTCTTTCTCATTACTCCCTCCTGGTGACACTGCTGATAGCTAGAATTTTAGGAAAGATGTGCATTTATGGGCCTGATGACCTCACTGAATTAGACCTGATAGCAAAATTATGTTCTTCTCCATTAATATAGAAATTCTGGGAATTTAGTTATTTCCTTCTCTAAAACCCTCTCAATTTTAGGGGTCAAGCTAGCAGAATGGCTGCTTTCTTTAACATACTTATGGGCTGTTATATTTTCCCATCCTTTCTGGTCTTCTCCTGAGACTGTGATGTTTTGTTATCATCAGTGGATAGAGGAAATCTATAAAATCACACTGTTTATCTAACAGTAGAATGTTGTCATCTAAATCTATCTGCTTCAGAAAGTGGCTGCCCACTTTTGACATTGTATATGTTGGGGAGGTGGGGCAGAGTCAGAAACCTTACACCCGTGAGGCTAGCCTGGGGTTGAATGGAGGGAGTGATCTTCAATCTAAGTAGCGTGTGTGCCAGTCTTCACCGTACCCCCCAGTCTTCAGTTCTTCAAGGTCATCTCCTTACTTTAAGAATTAATTCCATATGTCAGGGCACATAGTCAGAGATTGTTCTTTTGCTGTACACGTTGGGCTGGGATTAAGCACTTGCACACTCACACTCTCCTTTGTTCTATTGTTAAATGCAAGCACACATGTCCACGATAGCTCCCAACTTTTTTGTTGTTTGCTTTCCGCTTTCTTCAAGGCCATGTGTCTTTGCTGGACTAATTATAGGATGAAGCCCTGGGTTTCACATGCTGCAGGGTTTCAGGCTGTGTGGGTTTTAAGTGTTTTGTTTTCCTTGCCTAGGATGGTTTCTAACTAAGCAATGTGGGAACTTTCAGCATAGGAACTGAGTACCTCTTGGAGGTATGTTTTCCAGTTAAGATGCTTCTGAAAGATTTTCGTTCAAGTATAAGCAGAATCTTCCTCTATGTTATTAAATGGTTTATTTTTCTTCTTAAAAATATTAAAATGTAGAATTCAGTCTTTTCACTTAGTAAATTTCCCCTGGAAGAATGTACTGTTCAGTAGCATTGTTTGGTTCTCATTTTCTTCTGATCAGACCTTAATCTTCCTTATAACTGCTGTGAATGGGCCTTCACGGTTATCTCTTTATAGACAGAGCATCTCTCCCTGGTCTAATTTCTTTCTCGGGAAAATAACTCATTGCAGTTATTATAGTCAGACATTAAATTAACCCCATGATGCGTGTTCACACATCTCATGAGGGAACTGATTGACTGACCTGGGACCAATCAAGAGCCTAAACAAACTTGGCAGAGGAAAAGTAGGTGACATTTGCTTACCTGTAGGAATGATAGAAATACAGCTATATGGTGATATAGTGGCTCAGAAAATAATTTTGAAATCATATTAGCTTTTTTCTCTAATGCCTAGGTGCAGATAGATGGGTAGATTCTATTTCTTCCTCCCCCTTATACTTTTTCTAGGTATTTTGGGGAGAAAAGATTCTCTTGATTGATCCCTTTTTTGACTGTCCCATGGGGAAGGCAGGTATGGGTAAGAGGGTTATAGAGATGGTTTTCTGGGTCACAGCTATGAACCTAAAGCAATTGTGAATGTGTTTTCATTTTCTCTGAAGATTCAGAAGGTGGTTCAAGATCCTGCAGGGCCTCTAAGCTGTCAGTATGCCATCTGGATGCCTATAGGCATTAACTTCCTTTATATTATCATTGTTGAAAAGATTGGATAATAGTAAATTTTTATTAAGTGCGTGGTTGAGATCAGGAAGTTTCCTTTGAAAGCGTAATGAAGACTCAGAGAACCTTGAGAGAGGTCCTGCGGGTTGTCTCCCTGCTGTTCATGTCATAGGGATATATATCACCTGTGGAATGTTCTTTGGCATCAAATCAACATTTGTGCTCCTGATGGCTTGTTTCTTTATGTCTGCTCTGGTAGCTGTGAGCCTCCTTGGAGGGCCTACAACTCCGGAGAAGAGAGGAAGACCCTACTGCTGTCATGGTTAGAACTTTACCAGTCACTCAGTATGGTCAGGCTTTGATTTTTTTTTTTTTTTTTTTTAATCCTTAATGTAATAGGGCTTCCATGTATTCCAAGTCCTGATCCTTTGGTCTCTTTGATTTTTGTGCAATGTCCATGCTGCAGCTTTCCTTCCTAATCCCCAGAGTTTAGGGGGGAAATAATTTTTTTTACCCCAAACTCTGAATCAAGCAGCTGGAGATATTTTTTGCTTCCTTAATTAATTTTGAGAAAAGAGCCAACCACTTTTCTTGGCAGTGGGAGAAGTGATGAAGTTGGCATTTGATTAAAATCCTATAATATTTTTTATCTACATCATTGACATGAAAAAGTCAGGCCATGGAATCAAATAGAATGCATGTCCATGGATTTGATGTCCACCAAGATTGTATCTCATGGGCAGTACTTCAACTCATGAATAAACACTCAGTTGGGAGTAGGTCCTCAGTGTCGAACTTTTCTGACTGGCATTAGTGGCAAGAGGTGAGCAGGAGTTGACATGGGCATTACAACTTTTCCTGGTCAGAAAATTTTATGTGATTGTGAGATGCTTTAGGACAGTAAGTTTGAAGCCTTGTAGTCTTGTTTGGTTTGTATTCTTAGCATCTAGCAAGTGCCTGACATATAGTAAGCAGTTTATTATTAACTCATCACAAAACTATGTGGTTATTATATATTAATAATTCTCCCTATTTTATAGGTGACAGATGGATGACTTAACTATTCTGTATTAGAACCTACTTTTTTTGAGATAAGGTCACATTCTGTCACCCAGGCTAAAATGTAGTGGTGTCATGATAGCTCACTGCAACCTCAAATTCCTAGGCTCAAGTGATCCTCTTGCCTCAACCTTCTGAGTAGCTGGGACTACGGGTGCATTTTATCACACCCAGCTACTTTTTCTATTTTTTGTAGAGACAGGGTCTCGCTCTTGCTCAGGCTGGTCTTGAACTCCTGGCCTCAAGCAATCTTCCTGCAGTGGCCTCCCGAAGTGCTAGGATTACAGGTGTGAACCACCTCATCCGGCCAGAACTCATTTTTGAACTGAATCCAGAGCCCTTATTCTTAACCATTACCAACTATCTGCCTCAAAAGATAGTTAGGCAGATGAAGGCATTATTTATTAAAAGGGACATGGCTCTTTCTTTGCTCTCATGTCCAGTAGCAGAGTCACCAGATATGTCCTTTTCCTTGCTTCCGAGTTTTAATTTCCTAAAATCCAGATTCTCTTGTATCCTGATAAGTTGAATGAACTAATTACATGTGGTAATTTATTTTATTTCCTGGGATACTAGGTTGCCAAGGCTTATACATTTTGTCCTCTTGAATGGAAATAACCAGTCCAAATACTGGAAGACCTTTTAAAACCTTTTCAACCCTACTATCGCTAAAATAGTCCTTGATGATTTGTTGACAGGCTATTCCTATAGTGTGAACAAATTTCATGTGCAATCCATGAAAAAGAGCTCATTTTTTTCCTTGTAATAAATATGTTGTTAACCCTGTATCTTTACAGAAGTTGAACTATACTTGTATTCATTTTCCTTTCAAAGTACTCAAGTTTATGTCTCTTAACTACTGTCTTTTAATACCACAGATAAGGTTTAGCAACTGTTGTTTTAATATGGTCTACATTCCATTTTGGTTTTGTTTTGTTTTGTTTAAACAGGTTTAACTGAAATCAGTTCTACATATCAAACAAACATTTAGTTAATGTAAACTAAAACCTTTTCATATGACTTGGTGTTCTCAGGTTACTTATTTGAACCATTTTCTCCATTGTTAAATCTTCACAAGTTGCTTTTGTTTGCCTCCTGAAAGTTTAATATAGATAAACAAACAAAAAAATTCTTTGTGGTAACAGGTTAAGATTATAATAGCTCTGTATCTGTATATGGAATATGATCACCTTAGCTAAGCCAGGCGACCTAACATGAAGCTATGATTGCTCTACATTTCTTTAGAGGGCAGTGGTAATAAGAGTTTTTAGAATCAGTGGAGTTACACTTTGATGTTAAAATTTGATTTTTAAGTTGAAGATGAGTGATAAAAGACTTGGAAAATAGATAGAAAACAATTTCTTATACTTCCAAAGGTTAACTCAGCCTCTCATCTATCTATGTTGGAATTATTTCAGTTGCAAGGGATAGGAGACTCAACCTGAATGGGCTGAAATAAAAAGGGCTCTGGCAATAGCTTGCTCAAGGGTCAGTTGATGCGCCCAGTACCTGGTTTTTATCTTTTTATCTCACAGCCACCTCCTACTGTATTGGCTCTATGCTTCCCATTTGTTGGCAAAATGGCTACAGAGTCTTGTTCCTGTATCTTATCACGGTCTTGAAACTTATTTTGATTGAACATATACCTGCTCCACTCAATCCCAATTCTGCGACTAGAGAAATGTAACGGGCTGATTGGCCTAGACCTGGGCTGCACATTCCACTCCTGGTACTGGAGCTGGAGCTCTGTCCAGAGCACATGGACTGAGATTGGAGAAGGGATGGGTTACCAAATGATTAGCAGGGTTTTGCTAGAATAGAAGGAAGAATGCCAAGGCAGCAAACAATAGAAATTTACTATAATAGAGTCATAGGAAGGAAAATAAATTACAGGTTGAGAATTCCTGATCCCAAAATCTGAAATTTGAAATGCTCCAAAATTCAAAACTTTTGGAGTAGAAACATTCATTGAAGCATTTTAAATTTTGGATTTTTATATATGGGACACTCAGTCAATAAGTATATAATACAAATATCCCAAAATCCAAGACACTTCTGGTCCCAAGCATTTTGCATAAGTGACACTCAGCTTGTACTGGTATTTTTGCTAACCTTTTTTATGTTTTTGGTCTATTGTCATTTGCCTTGACTGAGTTGACAGGTCACAATCTGAATGGTTTTGTAGGTTTAATGTATACTCCATAATTAATTTTATGTTGTTTGGTTATATGCCCAAGATTATCACGAGCTTCTCCTGGCCCCTGGATAAGTTCTTTTTTATTTTATAACTAGAAACTTAAAATTGATATCTCTTAATATGTGTTTTTCTTTTAATACCAGTCTTTAATAAAGGCATTTAATAAAACAAATTTTGTTTGATTATTAGTTTTTTAAAGAGCATTCATTCCCCCAGCTAATGATGCTTATTTCTTCCTCCAAAAGAAATGGAACACAAATATGAGGTCTCATTGATGGACCCTCCTGTCCTCTTCCACTCCCCAGTTTTGGTGACTGTGTTCAGTTTAGAAAACAGTGTGAGGATTCCTGCCCTGTTTCTCGCTGTTTATATTTTTCTCCACATCTTAGGCACCTTGAATTCCTATATAAATTTTAAAATCGGCTTGTCAATTTCCACAAGAAAGCTTGATGGGATAGATGGAATTCACAGATGAAGTTGGGGAGAATGATGGGTGAAGTATAACTTGGCACCTCGGGCAAAGCATTCCCCATGGCATGATATGTGGGGAGGAGATGAGGTTGGTTCTGAGACAGCCTTCCCACATGCCTCTGCTTGTGGACCCTTCCACCATGACTCTGGCCCAAGGGGAGGGCAGGGGTAGGGTCGATCGATTTTGTTCAATTATTATATCTTTCCCATCATATGATACAGGCTGCTGTATAATGCAGGATCTCAATGTTTATTGTTGATTGACTTATAGTTTCCTCACATCTGACTGATACATATGATTGAGAACCTTTCTCCATCTTGAACTGGGTTGTCTTTTTAAGAGGACCTCAGCTTTAAGATCATTACTCTTTTCTTGAATTTGCAGAAATGCCCTGGAGATGCCAAATTAATTTTGGGAACTTGTTAGGCTGAGCTTTTCTCACCTTTCTCATCCTACGGCTGTTAAGTTACAGGAAGAGAATTGAGTAATGAAGTTATTGTCTTTGTTTATCCATTGCAAGGGCATTATAATCACCACCTTCTCTTTATGGTTCACAGGTGGAGTTTGAGTGGCTGAGACAGTTTTGGTTTCAAGGCAATCGATACAAAAAGTGCACTGACTGGTGGTGTCAACCCATGACTCAACTGGAGGAGCTATGGAAGAAGATGGAAGGCGTGGTAAGTACATGAAGTCTGGGGCCGTATTTTATGGGATGCTGCGCTGTATACTAATCCTCTGTGGCCTAATTTGCATAGGCAAATGTATATTTCATTATTCTAAGTTATTGAGTTCAGTTATTCTTGGTAAGGTAATGGCAATAGCCAGGATTTTGTCAGTATAACTTCAGTTCAGTTCAATAAACATTTATTGAGTGTTCTCTACATGAAAGGCAGTGCACTAGACACATGCTGGGAAGTGGCCATGAAAGGAAAACAATTCAACAATAATGCCTAAAATTCATTTGCATTTTTGTATGCACCAGGCGCTATTCTAAATGTTTTCCCAGTATTAACTTTGTAAATTCTTAACAGCAATGCTAGAGGTGTTGAAACTGTTATGGGCCTGAATTTATGGCTTTGACAACTGAGGGGCAGAATAATTAAGTGCCTCCCCCAGGGTCACCAGGTAAGTGGAAGAGCAAGATTGCAATGCAGACTGTCTAGCTCCAGAGCACGTGCTCTCAACCACTGTGATCAAACAGTTTCACAAGGAGAGGGACATGAATATCACCAGGTATTATGGTAGCTAAAATGAAATCCTGTAATAGAGGTTTTTGAAAAATAGCACAGTCCAGAGGAGGGAGTATTAAATTTAGACCACTGGAGCTGGGACTATGGTGAAATGGCAGATGTGGCGTTGGGGGACCTTGGATGGGGAGGAATGTGATGGGATGAGGCCTTTGGGGAGGAACACTGGGCTCCAGGAACTGTAAAAACAAGAGCAGAAGGAGGAAGGTATGAATAGAGCAGGAATGCAGAGGATGTGGTAGGAAATGCAGCTGGAAGGCAAGCTGAAGCCACATGGAGATCTTGAATTGAGTCAATTTGAATAAAAGTAATAATAGCAAACACTTATATGATGCTTAGTAAGTATTAGACACTATTCTAAGTGTTTCTATATAACTTTTTTAAACTTTTATGACAACCCCATAAAGTATGTATAATTTTTTCCCCATTTTACAAATGACGAGATGGAAGCACCAAGGGTTTTTGTAACTTCCTCAATGTCACACAGCTAATAGGTTGGGGAGCTGGGATTTGAACTCAAGAAGGTGGGCTCTAGGGTCCTTGCCTTTCACAACCTCACTGTCTTGCCTCCAAACAGTTGAATCTGGAATGTGGTGGAAAAATGACAAAAACCTACTAAACTCTAGAGGTAGTATCACTGCAAAGAATTTGAAATGTGTAGGAAACAATGAACTAATCTGCAAAAATGGACAGCTATTGCTAATCCCTATTTTATTTTATTTTTTAAGCCACTTTACTGAGATATGATTGACATACAAAATGCTACACATAATTAATGTATAACACTTGAGTTTGGAGGCAAGTATACATTCAGGAAACCCTCACCTCAGTCTGTGCCATAAATCTATCCATCACCTCCAAAAGTTTTCTTCTGCTTTCTTCTTCTTATTATTATTAGTGTTATGATAAGAATACTTAATAGAGTATCAACCCTAATCCCTATTTTATAATAATGAATATATCAAGTCACAAGCCTGAAGGCCCCAGTTGAAAAGTCTGGGTCAGAATCCAAAAGTCTTTGCTTTCCAGACATCTCCTCAGATCTTTAAACTATGCCTTTTCCTGGGTATATGTCTAAGGAAGGAATGTTATAATCTTTCTATTAGTGTATTAATAGTTTCAAAAATATGACTTCCCCAAAGACTTGAGTCAATGCAAAACCGAGCATTACTGATTGGAAGCAATGAAAAGTCTGTGCATAAATCTCTTCAGTTTTATGCCTAAACTAAACCTGTGTTGAGTATTTTCCATTTTTATGGGATGTAGATAGATAAAGGCAGCTTCAGTTTCAGGGAAACTTTTTTTCTGCTACTGTATAATTCTGATTTTGTCCATTTACATATGAGTTAGAATCTGTTTACTTGATGAGCCTTGACTATAAGACATCAGCTTGACTTTGAAATTGTAAGTTGACAACACTGTGAATTACAGTTGGAGAACAAGTAAGAAAGGAACTCCTACTGATTTTGTAAAAAAAAAAAATATTAATTGCTTTCATTTAAGAGATTTTTTAAAAGTAAAATCTTTGATACTGTGAGCTTACCAGTGATATTCATTATGAATTCATTAAAAAGATTTAGTTATACATATATTTTTTTATTTGGTGGCAGTGGCACGTTAGTTAGGGGGAATATCTTCTGTTTATTTTATAGCTCTCATATAGAAAAATGCTAAAAAGAAGAGCAACCCTGTGAATTTTCCAGGGCCAGTTTCCTTGCAGTTGGTGTGGCATTCCCAAGTGTTCTGAGGGAAATCAGTGGCCTCAGTGTCTGTCCTCGGCAGGCCTCAGTGTGATCATCAGCAGCAGAATGAAGGTTTGGGCCAAGATAAAAGGGATGGTCCTTCTGAATTAAATTTAAGCATCGCTTCAAGCCTTTTAAAATGACTTTTAACAAATTCATTAAAGTTTGTTTTTGCTATTGGAAGAGACAGAAGAAAATAATCATTGGCAGGGTCTACACTTCTGTGGCTCTGGTAGTGCAGTGCCAGCTGGTATTTGTGTGCTCAGGGTGGAATTGGCACTCGCCGGTTAGATTCCTAGCTTGTACCAGCCCACTTCATATTTTTTTTAAGTTGCAAGCAGTAGGGGGCAATGTTGAGCTACTGGTTTGAGGGCCCAAGATGCTAGCCTTTCAGGGAAATGCATACAAATGTACCATTAACTGTCAAGAATTATCCCTGTTGCTTCAAGTTAGCTGTAATCTCCAAGATTCCATAACACAGGAAATCAGTTGTGGGTTAACAAATTCAACAGCAATTTAACATAAAAAGTGCAGTGTTTGGTGCACATTTGGATTCTATAGAATTAGACTAATCTAAATGGCATTTCAGAATGCATTCACTTTGCTTCCAGGGAATATATTACTCAAAACCATTATCATTTTAGACAAATGATTCTTCTTTATCTTTATGCTTGTTTTTTTTTTTTGAATTATAAATCGTGTGTGTGTGTTGTGGAAAGATTTCTTTAATCCATGCTTTTTGTCTGTTCTGCAACCTAACATCGATCTCTTTTGCTGAGAAAATAAAATACAAAACCTCAGGCAATACGTGCATTACTTTTCCCCTTTTGCTTATGAGTAAAGAAACCTTTGACGGCCCTTGTACAAGAGAAGAGACTTACGCTGTGATTTCTCTCTGTCTTTGTTTCATTTTTTCACTTTGTGGTTGGAAGGTGTAGTCTCAGGAAGGATCTAGAAGAATGGAAAATGAGCTTTGAAATCACTTTTCCTCCATTAATGGTAATTGCTTCACATGTCATAACCAGTCACATATTTCAAAAAGTTTAGTCAGCTGTCTCTAAAATTCCCCTATCCTCTACTTCCAGCGAGCACCGTTTTTATCACACTATTTATTCTTGCCATTTTTCTCCCGGAGGATAGTTTTACCCTGTGCATGCTCTTGTGATGTAAATGTTAAACCTTATATTTGAATGACATTCTGATAAAATATCACATTTTCCCTGAATATTACCTCATGAATTTATGAGCCATTAAGCCCAAAGCAACATAACCCTTTCTTATAATCCAGGAATTTAGGCTAGCCTTTCTCCTCCCCTTTGCTCCCTATTCAAGAAGGTATTATAACACTGTAACACTATTCAAATATTTGTATTTTCTTTTTTCTTTTTTTTAACCAACCCACTATCCGCCCCCCACCCCCCATCCAAGATTATTGTATTATGAGGAGACTCTTCAGGATAAGAGAGAGTTACCATTTGAAAGAAGCTGTACAAGCTTGGCTTTCTGGGTAAAGAGAAATATGAAAAGCAGAAATCTCATGTGAGGTGAGGCAGTCTTGCTGTAGCCGGAGATTCAATGGATAGGCCATTTGTCTCTCAGGGTCTGGTATCGCTCTTTGCAAAACTGACATTTATTTTACCTATAAAAATGTTTTAACACTATCAAATTCACAGTGATACAGAAAAGAATGCTAGGTGTGAAATCCTCTAAATTGATGACATTTATTCATTTCCTTTTGACCTTAAAAAAAAAAAAAGAAGGTCAATTTGGTATAATCCAATGGAAATATTCTGCAACAGTTTCCAAAGTAAACATTTTTGAAAGTACTGATGATTTATATACTAGAGAGAAATTTCTTCATGCTTTTTTTTGTGTGTGTGTGCATGTGGGTTTTTCTTTTAGAAGAGAAAGTGGATCCTGATCGTTTTGAATGTTTTGAATTGCATTTCCTGTCCTGACAGTTTCTTCTGGCCGACATAGCAATGCGTTTATACAGCAGTTGGCCTTAATAACCTTTATTGACTTTAGTGGGTAGGAGCCAAGACTGGATTATTTTAATGTATCCGTTTGAAACAGTGTAAAACACAACATATAATTATGTTAGGTAAGCTAAATGTAGCCTATAGGCTACATTTAATTCTACCCATTTATGTTAAAATTTGGCACAGCAGAGCGAAGAGATGTGGAAAACGAGTAGGTGTTTTATTTAATAATGTAACCAGTTTCTTGTTGTTAAAGTTTTAAGAGAGAAATATTCTTAAGGATGTAAAGGTTGTCCCTGACAAGTTGGTTATAATAGTTTACTTTCAAGATGAGTCATACGTTTCCCCCTGTTAATTTGGCCTGTGGAAATTGTGCAAATTGCGCCGGGAGCCCGCCCATTGCCGTGTGGCTGTGTCCGCCTTCGTGTGTGTAGGTTACAGTCACAGCGAGTGACTGAGCTGAGGAGCAGTTTGTTTGTTTTTGGAGAGATTAGTGAAGCTATCATCACAGTGCTTTAGATTAAATTCTTCATAACTGAATCCAGGAACAAGGCTTCTTTCTCAATTTGCTGAAATGTACACTGAGTAGACTAGTATTTGCTATTGTATTATAGTTCAATTAGCGGATTTCATTTTAAACTTTCTTCTAGGATTAAAGGTTTTTGGGAGTGTGAGGAAGAAAGTGATATAAATATGAATGTTAATT